TGTTTACTTAGCAAAATAAATGTAAACGTTTCATGTTCAGCGTACTCAAAAAATGAGTTTTTTTTTTTACTGTTTACTTTATTCGGTTTAAGAAAACCAATACCATTTTAAGATCAGTGGGTCGTGAAAAGGTAAGAGCTACGGACGCTCGTGGTCCACCTAAACCTGCCCTTATAAGCTATGGATATTAGGGCATCCATTCAGATAAAAATAAAATGAAGTCACGATATGTTAATTTATTCTTCAATTCCATTTCATCACTCTCTTGTTGCTCAAAGTTTGTAGTTTCGCGTTTGTTTTCAAGGACAGAATCTTTGAGGTTTAATATTTATTTATTTCAAAAGAGTAGAAACTATTCCCATAATTAGTTATGCACATTCAAATTAAACGAGTAGCAGTAAGCTAATCTAGTAAATTAATGTTTCACCCACCAGGTCCCCCGATCACTCAGCGGTTCAGAGCTTATAACCCCTTAAATCCGTGGTTTGATCCCCGCGACTAACACGGCGAAGTTAATCAGTATGAAGCTTAGCGCTAAACAAAACAAAACCGACTTACCCACCAAACATTTTTGCATCTGAGAACCTTAAATTTGCACAATATAAAACATAACCTCTCAATATAATCAAAAATATTTCAAAAGAATGTATTATAATCGAAATGCCCCCCCCCCCCAGTGGCACAGCGGTATGTCTGCAGACTTACACTTCTAGAAACCGAGCACAAATAGCCCTTTGTGTAGCTTTGTGTTTGATAACAAACAACAACATTTATCTGAACTATTTTATTTATCAATTTTTACACTTTATGTTATTTTCTCCTCCTATATGGCTTCACTTTTTTAAATCATTTTTTATTCTATTATTTTTAAACTGGTTCTTCTGTCTAATTATATTCCATAGAAATTAAAATTTTTGTTTCTTCTTCACTAATAATTTTTCTTTGTTAAAACAACCTTTTTTATTTCATGTTCCATTCATGGTTCTGTTCTATTATCACTACCTTTCTTTCTTGTACAAATTGTGATTCTTTTCTTACAGAACGGAGTTTTCATTGCGGTATTAGGCGTGTTTTTAAGTTTGTTTTTTTCCTTTTCTGGACCATTCGTCATTATCATTACTTTCCTGGAGTGTTCATCTTTCTATCCTATAGTTCTTCCATCTGTATTCCTAAAGTGCTGGTATTTTGTTTTCCTTACAAGTTGAGTTTTTGATCCTATTGTTTATATTCCTACAGTGTTAGTATTTCTTTCCTTGTTAGTTGAGTTTTTGTTCCTGTTGTTTATATTCCTACAGTGTTAGTATTTCTTTCCTTGTTAGTTGAGTTTTTGATCCTGTTGTTTATATTCCTACAGTGTTAGTATTTCTTTCCTTGTTAGTTGAGTTTTTGTTCCTGTTGTTTATATTCCTACAGTGTTAGTATTTCTTTCCTTGTTAGTTGAGTTTTTGATCCTGTTGTTTATATTCCTATATATTGGTACTCATTTCCTTACTAGGTGAATTTTTCTTCCTGTTCTTTGTATACTTATAGTGTTGGCGTTTCTTTTCTTTGTTGTTGAGTTTTATTCCTGTTTTTTTTTTTTTACTGGTTTAGTTTTGTTCCTGTTTCCGTCTTACTGGTTTAGTTTTGTTCCTGTTTCTTTCCTTACTGGTTTAACTTTTTTTCTCATGATGTTTGCTTCTGTTTCCCTCTACCACATCAACTTTTGCTTCTCTCGGGTTGACCTTTGTTTTCTGTACCAGTTGATGTTATGGTATTTTCAACTAGTCTATCTATTTTGTATTTAAACTGTTGCTTTTTATGAAACATTTCGTCTACTGCATCGTTTGTAGCTTTGTTTATGTCAATTGTATTATTTTTCTCTCATTTTTTTGTCTATCATTGTTTATCAGAATTGGCACAGTTGTTCATTATTTTCAAGCTTATTTGTTTTATTCCTGCAACGTTTATTCATTTGCAGTATCCGTTTTATTATTATTATTATTTTGACCTTTCTTTGCCTTTTGGCGATAATTCTTTGCTTGTAACACTTATATTCCTTTCGAACTTCTGCTTTCTTTTCCACGACACTGGTATTCCTATTCTTTGATATTTCACGCATAATTTTCCAATAGTGGATGACCTGTTATTATTTTAAACTGACTTTAGTTTATGCTCGCCCTTTCAGCCGTGGGGGCGTTATAAGTGACGGTCAATCCTACTATTCGTTGGTAAAAGAGTAGTCCAAGAATTGGCGGTGGGTGGTGATAACTAGCTGCCTTCCCTTTAGTCTTACACTACTAAATTAGGAAAGGCTAGCGCAGATAGCCTTAGTGTAGCTTTCTACACAATTCAAAACAACCAAACAGAATTTAGTTTGTGTATCAATTTCTATAAGTTTTGGAAACTGAGATTTTAATAATTTAAGAACCATTTTTTTATGTTTTTGAATGTAATCTTTACATCCTTTACTGTTTTATTTTTGTTTAATTTTCAATCAACTTATACCTTATGTGTTCTGTATAACGCCGAGCGTTATTGTGGTGTTTTAATGTAACATTTTTCTTGCCACCGCAGATAATGCAGACTCAGTAATAATCATCGAGGCTGTTGGATGGGTGTTATGTGATGTTGCACTCATGAGCAAAAAAAAAAAAAAGACCCATTTTGTGCATAATATCATAAGATAAGGCTGATGGATTCAGTCAAGGGTTGTTAATATGGACTCATATTTGCATTTTTGTCATTTATTCATTTTTATTTGTTTATTTATTATTATTATTATTATTCTGCTGTGTTCCCGCTAATGTTAGGTGTAAATTGAAGTTGTAAAAAAATAGTAATTTCATCTGAAAGTGGATAACCGAAAGGAGGCTGTCTTATATATATATCACATATTTTCTGGATAAAATCAATAAATATGGTAATTTGTTTGTGATTTTCTTCATGTTTCACCAATGTATACTGACATTGTACCACACCCCTACTCAGTGGTAATGTTGGGCTTCGATATCCGCCGTGAACACAGCCCAGATAGCCCGATGTGTAGCTTTGCGCTAAAAAACAAGAGTTGCCTGTACACATTTATCTAACGTGGTTGTTGTACTTTAGGAAGAGTTGCTTGTACACATTTATCTAACGTGGTTGTTGTACTTTAGGAAGAGTTGCTTGTACACATTTACCTAACGTGGTTGTTGTACTTTAGGAAGAGTTGCTTGTACATATTTATCTAACGTGGTTGTTGTACTTTAGGAAGAGTAGCTTGTGCACATTTATCTAACGTGGTTGTTGTACTTTGAATTAGATGAAGAGTTTTAAGAAGGCGTGGTTCCAACTAATAGAGCTAACCATGTCTATAGTAATACTTTCATTGCTGAAACAACGTTGTATCATCTTGTCCGCATGTTCTAAGAAAAGCATTCACCTTGTGTCATCTCCTCTGCATGTTTTAAGAAAGACCTTCATCAGTTGCTATCAATCGGCGTGATGTGAGAAAGGTTAAGAAATGCCATCTACAAGTGACCCTATCCGAATTGAATTATTGATGCAGACATAAATTCCAAGGGCCACAAAAGTAAAAACAATTACAAACTCAATCTTGTCATGGGAACAACAAAAAGTAAAAACAATTACATTCTCCATCTTGTAATAGAGGCAACAAAATAAAAAATAATTACATACTCCATCTTGTCATAGGGGACGACAAATGTAAAAACAGTTACATAGTCCATCTTATGATAAGGGCGACAAAATATGTAATTTTGTTTTATCTATTACATCATCGTAGTCATTATATTTTGTTTAAAATAGCAACTGAGCCTTGTCTGGAACATGCAACGTGGCCATATTTCTTATCTGGTTTGAAGAAGTTGCACAGTTTGTTTGTTTTTAAATTTTGCGCAAAGCTACACTAGGGTTATCTGCGCTAGCCGTCCCTAATTTAGCAGTGTAAGACTAGAGG